TTTTTTTTTTAATTCTTCACGAGGCGGGTTTGGGGTGGGGCATCTCCGCCCCGCGACCTGCGACGGGGCGGCGAACCTCGCCCCGCCCCGCCAACCCGTTTGGGGCGGGTTTTTTTGCCCCATTCGGGGCGGGGCCCCACGAGGACGGGATGGGGCGAGGCGGGGAAAATTGTCATCTCTAAGGAGGTTTTTGGATCCGGGTTCGGATTTTTTAGCTGTATTTTTGAAGTTACTGAAATAACCCTGGTGCCTGGGGATCACGTTAATAAATACTAATAGAGGGCTATATTTGATTAAGAGTTTATTACGGTATGTTATGGAGTTTAATAATGCTCTTTCACGGAAAGAAATTGACACCAATGTTTGTAATTTTTATATTACTGCCCTGGTTGGAAATTTAAATACGTTATTTATCATCAATCTAAATGTGATAGGTACTGACGGAGTCAACACCTGAAGAGCCAATGTGACCACCCGTACATGCTTCATCGGAATTTACATAATCATTCCTTAAAATTTTACTTATTTACCTCTTCAAAAAAATAGAGAGATGGAAGAATGAAATTCAAGTTTTAAAAGTCGGACCTCTCTCTTTTTCCCCTTTTCCTCTCTTTCTTTTTTTTCTCTTTTCTTTCGCTTTCATTCCTCTTTCCCGTTTTCTACTCCGCTCTCGCTCATCGTTCTATTTTGTATAAAATAAGAAATGGGTTAATTGGATATTAGTTGGTGGAGCACTAGCTCTAAATTTGCAAGGTAAATCCTTCATTTTATGTTTTTGAAAACTAAATCCCCAAATTTCTATGTTATTCATGATTGAGATCGTGAGCCCCTTGCATCTAGTTTTTCTGTTACTTCTAGTAGAGCACAAGAATTGTTAGCCATTGTGATTGTTGATGATCAACGATCAGCAATCAACAACCATCCTGATTACCAACATTCCAAGATCATCCACGGGTGATAGGAAAACACTAATCCACTATACAAAAACATTAAAAAAATGCATAACAATTCTATCTGGATGGTGAGTACTGAGTCACAAGACTACTACTTAGCCCCCGTTTGATCTACATTATTATCTCATTAAAATGAAAAATATGACCGTTATCCATCACATCAACATTTAAATTCAAATTTTTTATCTCTTATGTGGGTCCCAATAACGACTATATTTTTCATTCTTATTCTACAATAATTTAGTTCAAACAGGGCGTTAGATAGATGATAAGTAGTAATTTTTATATGTGGTCTCTGAACTTCAAACAAAATATTAATTGAATCATTAAATTTAAATTTGTCTCAATTGGGGTATCAAATTTCAATTTAATTTCAAATTGAGTCACTGAACTATAATTTAATTTAAAATCTTGCTGTTGTCTAATGAAAATTACTTAATTAATGGCCATAACACAACATATCTTCCACATGATCAATGCCCGTGTTTAAGTTTTATTAAATAATAAGTGGTTAGTCGTTGTAATACATAATTAAAATTAAAATTTGAACTTTGACTAAAAGTTATAAATAAGTTATAATGTTTCCCAAATTAGACGACGTCAACATGTCTATTTACCATATGATGTATCGTAATTTTTTTTTATTATTATTTGAACACGTCATAACCCTCATTTGACCATTTTCTTTTCTAGGGTGTCAAGAAGCAATTATATGAAAAACAAATTATTGTGTGACTGTCGACTGAGCAATTTCTATAAGTTTGAGGCCAATAAGCGAAGGAATGTGATAGAGTAGTGAAATTTGAAACTTGATTGGAGTTCAATGACCCCATTGAGACAAATTAAAGTTTAGTGAGCCATTGAAGTTTGCTGAAGTTCAACAACAGCAGACGAAATTTAGCCATAAAATTTTCGATCTCATCTAATGTCTTACTCCACATTACAGTACAAACGAAAGGAAAAAGGAACAAAAAATAAAAATGCCCCAACATATTCTATACTCCTGATCTCAAACTATAATGCCTCTGAAATAAATTCCTTAGCCTACTTCTAAACTGAAAGTTAAACTAGACCATGTTCGGCCTCTGAGGAAGCAAGAGATTGTAAAATTTGTCATGCAAGAAGAAATGCTTTCCCTTGCCATCAACTGCCTTTTTCCACCCACACCATCCACCATTCACAATTTTCTTGTGGTCGTCGTTCCCAGTATAGTGAGGGTCGAGTATAAGAAATGCACAATCTCCACTTGCCTCGTTATAATCGACCCCCAAAAGGGTATATGCAAGAACACCTCCACCTGTAAGTACAAGCCCCGGGAACCATTTTTATATCATGTTTTCGTTCTTTTAACACAAGTTCAATGGCTAAGGAGAAATGAACGACATTTGATCTTCATTTTAGATTTTTTTTATAGATATGAGATGAGAAAGAGAAAAATTCTGACCAATCATGATGGGTGTTCCTTGATTCTCGAAATGTAATGCAAGTTCTCGACATTTTTCAGGAAGCTCGGCTCCAGATCTCACATTAATGACCTTGCAACTAACCTGTTCAGGATAGAAGTTTAGTAGGCAAGCCACACTACATTGGTCATGATTTAAGAGTCAAGACTAGTAATGATACATGTATATTAATAACAAGCTTGGTAGTGATTATCATTATAATTTATGGGTCTACGAAATGTGTGAATAATAAGTGAGTAGTAGTAGTTGGTTCTACGAAATGTGTGGATAAAATATATGTTTAATTCACTAAATCAACGAAAGTATACTTACTCCAAGAAGCTTGTCTAGCACAAAACTTAACTCGATGGCGCCAATCCATTCGCGTGACCCTACAAATGAAGGGTCCTTATCGCCAATCTCTACAAGTGCCTGCTGTATTTCCCTGAAAACAAAATGAAGTAATTATGTTCTCTTAAAAGCTTGAACAAACATACCTCGCCAAGTAGAGGAGATACAAGTAAAATACAAAACAACAAATCAGAAAGAGAGAGAGGGGGGGGGGGGGGGGGTCAGTATCCTCATCTAGTAATTATGTCAGCCTCATCGAAGAGCCATAAGTACCCGTGTGAAGGGACGTGAATGGAAGTGTAATGTTGCAGCCTGAACCATGAAATAATAGTCTGCAGAGAGCGGTAAGCACAACCCCAGCCCTGACATGTAAATATTATTGAAATCAACGTTCAAAATTAAAACGCTAAGATCATCTCCAATCGTGGTGTAAAATAGATCATTTGGATCTCCAAAGTGGTTGGAAACTCTCCAATGGAAAAATGCAAAAGAAATGCAAAACGCATTGTTCGGTGGAAAAAAAAAATGTAAATCCACAAAGGTAAAATGTGCATTTAGATCTTTTCAATGGAGCAAAATATGAATTGAGATTCACTGGGGTGTAAATGAAGATGCAAAAGAAAAACTATATCTCAATGTGATGAAAAAATATAATTTGAATGCCAACGATAATTATTGACTCTAGTAACATAAACGTTCTCACCAGAACCTAAGTTAAGAGGAATTGAATGCCTATAAATCAAGTCGTAGATCAAACAGAAGGGACAGGTTATTTTTAACAGTATCGAATAAAAGGAAGGGTTCATAAAAGGAAATTAAACATCTTTTCTTAATTTTACAGGTAAACATCAGCAAAAAGAACGGTTTGCATAAGGAAATTGTGTTACCGAATCATCGAATCCATCTTGGAGGTAATGATAATACTCGTAAGAACCTTGAACCAGGGAAACAAAGCCACCAGATACTGCACAAGTGAATATATGTCAGAAAAATAAGTACTGGTAAATCATTAAAAAGAATAGAAGTACATAAAACGTGGGAACTTGGTGCATACATAAGACAACTGGGTGCATGCATAAGACACAAGAAAAACTCACCCCCACTGCTTAGAATCCCATGATGTACATCCTTGAGCAAAGAGGAACCTAATACACAAAAACGAGTCAATAATTTTGAAGAATACCTTTGCTCAGAACATGATTCAGATAAGAAATTCTGGGCCAGTCAGGAAACTGCACAATTACCCTTTTGAGTTGAATTTACCATTGAGTTGTCCTTTGTTCTAGATAAACTTATGGCATTAGCAATTCTCAATAGAGGGCGATCAAATGGTAACCCAAGTCTCAGGTGAAGGGATCTTCGAACTTCAACTGCACATGCAAAATGCTTCAAATCTTATGCCACCATAAGAAGAAAAGAAGAGCCTTAAAATCTCCTATTTGACATATAAAACCTAAACAATGCCTTGTGAGTTTCTGAGAACGAAACAAGAGAAACGTTCCCTATAAAAAGATGGTAGCACAAGTGGAGAAACACATTATTCTGAATTGTTTGCACCAAGTCGGGTTCTCATTCAGCTTCTCAATTGTTGAAACACATGCTACACAATTGGTAATCTTCCAGACTATCTAAAGTGAAAGTTCAAGAGATTTTGAAGATGAATCCTCAGCCTCAATATTTGCCCCGTGTGTGTGTGTGTGTGTCCAAAAAGCAGGAAAAGAGGATAACAATTTAGTCCTATATAAAAGAGACTATTATACCCCTGTTCCTATATACAACAACTGAAGTGCACGTTATGTACACTGCGTAATTGAATAAACAAAAGTGATGGAGTGAGAATATTCTGCTTGAACACTGCAGGAGAAAGGGGTTTGGGGGTTTGGGATTTAGGTAGTGCCTTCAATATCTATCTTATTTGCCATTCTCGAGACATGGAATAAATATTTCTAGACACAATATGTGTTACTGAAGTTTGAATTCAAAATACCTTGCTTCATTTCTGTCTCTCCATAACTGAGTTCATACAGAACAGTTATTGGATGTAAAAAACCTGAAGGCATGAAGTGGAATGGCAATAGCTGCAGGAGAGTAAAGCTATTTCATCAATTCAGAGATTGTGATCGGGGAATGTGGATAAAAAGAGGACAAGCAAACTTAAAGAAATTGAAAGAGGGACTCTACGAGTAAACCCAGTCAGAAATCAACTCACATCAATTTCATGTGTTTTATTAATAATAATGCATATAGAAAATATTGTCAAGTGCACATAACCTTTGGATTTAGCATATATTAGATTGTAGGGTATATTATTCTGTTCATTCCTATAGGTTCTCATGAATGGTATGACACTCTCAGAAGTATGACCTTTGGCTGTTCTGTTAAGAGACTGGACGAGATTTTGTTCTTCAATGAATGTAACTGATCAACTAATGCAGGAATGAGTAACTTGGAAACTGCATCCATCAACGAAAGTTCCTTTGCTGCATAGCAAAGCACTTCTAATTTGTGGTTTACGACCAAAAGTTTAGCTCCTTCTGTCGCTGAAACAGAACAGGTGAAGTAGTAGTAAGATTGGCAGTAATGAAGGAGAAATATCAAACTCCAGCAAGCTAAAAAGGGAAAGATCACGAGGATAGCCCACAAAGTTCAAAAGTTCTAATACCTGGATAATATTCAGCAATAGGCGCTGCAGGTTTGAGAGAATTTCTTGATCTATTAAACAGGATATTGACTAGAATTTTATCTGCATTCTAAGCATGAAGTTTTTTCAACAGCTACTCGTAAAGAGTGAAGTTCATTAAACAATAAGAAATTATCGGTAAATCAAGGCAAACTGCTCATCATTTTTCTGAAAATTTTTACCTCCTCCACAGAAGTAAATGGCGCTGTGTCTTTAGTTTCTGAGCAAAAGTAAGAACAGGTTAACGACTTTGCAGTGGACTCTCGAGCAGTTTCAGTTGAAAAGGCATTTTTGGGAAGTTCCTCCAGCTGATTCAGTTCTGTGCCATGAAGAACAATTGGCTGGGGTCCACCAGTTGAGTGACTATTATGGGCCTCTATAAGGTATGTAACTTGTGGATCTTTAAATTTACACACCACATTTGTAACAGCTTGGGCATACATGCCCTCCACATCTAAGGAGCACAGAATTTAGTCAGCACTAGAAAAAGAAAAGGTAGAAGCAAATTCTCTCGTCAAAGCAAAGCATAACCCACATTTTTGCTTCACAATTTAATGGCCTCACAAAGGCAAATGGCAATGTCTGCCTCACTATGCATATATGCAAAAACTAATGGCTTTGATTGACTAGTTCTTCATTGATTTTTTATGAAGAGTATGGCCTCACAAAGGCAAATGGCAGTGTATGCCTCACTATGCATATATGCAAAAACTAATGGCTTTGATTGACTAGTTCTTCATTGATTTTTTATGAAGAGACTGTTCAGCAATTTATATTCTTTGCTGGAAATTCATTTCTCCACGTTTTCATCTTAAGTAGAGAAGCTTTTTGGTGTCAGTGTGTACTCCAAAAAATGATTGTTTGTTTAATGACGTTGATATCGATAATTAACAGATAGCTAGTTTTGTTTTGAATATTAAATGAAGATAGTGAAAAGGTAAATGAAATGGACAAGGACTTCTTCAAGCAATTTCAGATAGCTAGTTTTGTTTTGAATATTAAATGAAGATAGTGAAAAGGTAAATGAAATGGAGAAGGACTTCTTCAAGCAATTTCTCTTGTTCTAAACTGAATTAAATTCAAACTAATTCAACAATAAGAAAAATAAAAATTGTACATAAATTACCAAAAATCTCACATTTTTTGCATATATAATTTGTTTGTTTTCTGTTTATCTTTTGATCTAAGGAGTTCAAAGATGTCAATCTTTGCCAAAGCATGCTAAATAGTTCTTTATATACATTTTCCATGAACAGAAATCAATCAAATAAATAAATAAAAAAACAAAATAAATGAGGTAAGAAAAAGTTCACCTTTAGTGTTCTGGTGATAATATAACGGCAGCCTTAACGGAAGCTCACATCGAACTATGCAACCTCTATCCCAAACAAACTTCTCAGGCTCATCTTCATACAAAATGGTATCTACTTTCTCCACACTATCAGATTTTCCTGCTCTTGACATATAAAACTGAACATCACGCTCACCGACACCATTTTTCAAATCAATTACAGCTCCAATTAGTACCTGACTATCATTGTCAATGCTATAGAGGGATTTCCTCAATTTTCTAACCAATGAAATAGCATTCCCTACTATTTTTTCAATTTTCATGTCATTTCTATCATCGGCAATCAATGCTCCAATTACTTCAAAACCCTTCGGAAGCAGACTTATTATGTCATCTGTCACAAATTTCATGAATCAATTCAACTTGAAAAAATATCAAAAATCAAGCACCAAAGCATGCGCAAGAATATGGGTTTAGTACATTATGCAGAAACTATTTGTGCAGAGATATAACTCTTCACCATTTGCAATTCTTCATTTCCACTCAATAGCATGTTTATAAAACTAAGAATAAAAAAAACTGTAATTCTAGAACATTTTAAACCATGCAAACCATTGTAAATTGCCAAAAGAACTTGGAAAAGATTGTACGCTGCTCTTCCCAAGTATTGTCAGTCAAGCATCAATAACAAGTAGAAAGACACATTTTTTGAACAGCATTTATTACGATGCAGCATCACAAGTACTTGTACTAGATACACGAGTTCATGTGTGTCATACATTGTGCTTAGTCTACCTTCTTTAGAAACTCAGTTTCCTTATTTTATTCAATACATTGTTTACTTAAAAAAGATATAATACTAATAATAAAATACAATGTCAAACAATTCACCACCCTGCCAGTGCAAGGTACAACCAAGTACACAAAAATTCAAATTTTATGCACACATTCCAGATTATAAACATCCATAAAATGACCACAAAAACACCGACATAGACAACTGGTACGTTAGGCATTTGGATGCTCTACCTTCTTTACCACCTCAGTTCCGCAATCAGAGCTCAATCCACTATTTAGGGTGTGTTTGGGCCATATTATTTTGGAAGAATGCATTTTGTAATAGTAGATTGATGGAGAATGTATGGTTGAAAAAGAAGGAAAAATTACTGATGTGATGTAAAATATTATTTTATTGAAGAATGTGTGGTTGAAAATAAGCAGAAGAATAATGATGAAAATTTTAATGTGGCTGAAACAGGGGCTTACTACATAGTTAAAGAAACTGTAATGACAAACAATTCACCACCCTGCTAGAGCAAGGTAAAACCGCGTACACATAAATTAATTTGATGTACACACGTGTGTGTATAAATAGGCTTTGATGCTATAAATATGCACTCAAAATTCTCAAATACATCCATGTATCAATATATACACAGGTTCTCTACCTTTCTTTAGCACGTGCACCTCAGTTCCACAATCCATTATTCACCATAAACTTTACGAAACTACAATGTCAACAATTCACCGCCCGCCAAGCAAGTTACAACCACATATGCAAAACCAATTTATGCACACGTGTGCGAGTAGCAAAACACCTAGACTGTTAATAACTTGATATGAAAATTTAAAATTTAGGCAAAGGTCATCATGATAGGTACGAGAATACTCTATTCCAAGTTTTACCTCATTTAAAAGCTTAATCCTATCAGAAAATTCCACGAAAACATAAACAAATGCATCAATATAAACAACTACAAACCTGATTCCTCGACAAAATCGGGAGAGAGTGAATCAGAGCCGAGGGCATGGAGGCAACGGAGGGTGGAAACTACAGTGAGTGAAGGGAAGAATGGAGATCCAATTAGCCACTGAATGCCTGATTCTTTCTTCAAAATCACCAGCCGGCGGCATAGAATCCGAATTCCGATTCCGTTTTCAGTAATCTCCTTCTCCATTTGATTTTCGATGTGATTGAATCGAAATCAATAGCTCCGGAGAGAAAGATCAGATGGGGGAAGGGGTTGGTATAAACCATAAACCGTGGAAAAGGGGAAAACCGAGTCAAATGTAAAAGGGAAATCTGTCCGGTTACCTGAATTCGGACCGGGCCAATTGGGTGTGTTTGGATTGGAGGATAAGTAGGTTTAGGAATAGATTGGAGTGGGTGTAATCTGGTTTGGTCTGATTCTCGTCATCTGGTTCGATCCGATTCTCGCGATTTGACCGAACCGAATACCAATGGAAATCTTAAAAGAGAAGTGGAAATTACATTGCAACGTGTTTTTAAAGATTATATTGTTAAAACCAGGCGTAAGGTTTAATTAATCATAAATTAGGTCATAATTCAACCCAATTTTGTTGCCTATTCTTTCTTCATTTTAAGCAGAAATGTGACCGTTGAAGGAGCCCACTAGCCGATATTGCTGACTTCCATCTCACATTAAATTTGAATTCAATGATGCAACGATAAAAAAATTAATTTTCATTTTCTATAAAATGTATGCTCAACTATTAATATTAATAATATTATTATAAAATTTACCCACCCACCTGAATAAATTATTTCTTTTTTCTTTCTTTCATCTAATTTCTCCCATATATTTATATTTCTCTTTCTAGTTTTCTGATCAACGTTTAGTTTCTCTCTCTGTCCCTTTTTTCCTTCATTATTCCATTTCTCTTTTCCTATCAGAAGTGGTCGTAGGTAGTGTGGGATTTCTTTATGAACTTTTCTCTGTTTGCCGTTTTAATTTCTGTCACTTTGCTCATTTTGCCAACACTCACAAGTCCCGATCGTGGTAGCAGCGACGCTGATGTAGTTTGTTGATGGTTTTTATGGGTGGTTTTCTAATTCGATGTGCTATGATGGTATTAGCGGTGACAATGATTGTTGATGATGGTTGGTGGTGCAACGTATAAACAAGGTTTGTTACCAATAAATTAGATTGATCTGTTATCACTAAATAACATGTGACTTGTGCACAATGATCTGTGACATGTAAACTGATAACATGCCACATGTCTTTGTTCACTTGTTACGGGTCATAGGTCGCAGATCACTGATTTATGCTCATATGTCAATATTAATAGGTCACATATTATAGTTCGCAAGTCATATTGTATAGGTTATAGATGTTCACAGGTCATAGGTCACGGGTATAGTTTACAAATTGCAAATCATATCTTATAGGTCAATATTAAATGGCTACATGTTATAGTTCACATGTCACAAACTATTGTTCATATGTCACGTCACCATTCACAAATCACGAGTCATATTGTATGTCATAAATGTTCACGTCAATATTAATAGGTAATAGATCAATATCTACAAGTCACATATTAAAGAGAATTGGTCATAAACCATTGGAACAATATCACATGCAATAAATTCAAGAGAATTGGTTACACTACATTAATTTCTTTGAATTTGTCACAAATTCAATTAATTAGATTTCAGCACATAGAATTGAAGTTATTTGATTCGATGAGTATTCAGTAAATTATACCAGAGGCTATTTTTCAATTTTAAAACATAGATTTAAGTTACATGGCGCTGCTCAATCGTCGCTGAAGAAGATGATTAGTCGCTTGCAATGCTCAGTCAATGTTCCTCAATGGCCGCTATATTTCTCCCCATCTCTCCCTATTATCTGAGTGAACTAAAGAAGATGCTGAGTTGCAGACGCTCTTTATACATTCTATCTTTTCTCGACGAAGTTATTTAGATACCGGTGACTATGAGAGTGGAAGTCGGTGACTATGAGTGGGAATGACGGCGGCACGGATGACGGTGACTATGTCCCGAAGCAAAAAGAGATTGGAATTATTTTATAAATAATTATTTATTTAATTAATAGAATTTAATTATCACCTAAATTTTGAAAATGTAAACTTGTTCTCTTAAAATTGAATTGGCTTAAACTTAAATCCCGAGATATGGTTTTTTTCATCTTAGAAATGGAACCATTAGTTCCATATCCAATTATAGAACTGAAATGAAACTGAACCAATCGGTTCCGATCCGGTTCTTTATATTGAAAAAATTATAAAAAATAAAGTATGAAACTACTAGTGATGTAGAAAATAGATAAAAAAAAAATGAAAAAGAAAAAAGAGAGAGAATATGAAATCACTGCCATTCTTGTAATTTAACAATTCAAAAAATCAATTAAACAAGACAGTAAACAAAAATTCACTCCAAAACTTAAGATCAACTCATAAAGGCGAAAAAGAATAAATTATGAAACACATCATAAAAAGGTAAAATCTCAATCAAAAATTAACTCTTTACGAAAATTTATATAACAATAACTTGATTATCTATAGTAATCCTCAAGAATCTTGATCCTTGATGGCCGATTACTTTAAAAACAATGATAAATTTGAATTTTTATGAAATATTGTATTATAAATATATATTTTTTCTATTGGGTTGCATTAAAACTATGAATTTGTAAAGTATTTATATAATTATTTAGATTTTAATTTTGATTACCCATTAAAGGAAAGAAAAAGAAGCATATGGAAAATGAAATTTTAACGTGGGATAATTTTAGGGTTTAGCGTTCAAAGATTTAGTGCAACTTCATGCAACCAAAAAGAGAAATTCGGAAAAATCAAATTCACTATTGGTTCTTAATGAGTACAGAGAATCAGACCGAAACCAACCGATTTTCGATTTATGATCCCAAAATTGACTCATTTAGTAGAGAAATCGGACCGAACCAACCAATTCTATCTGGTTGTGGTCTGGTTCCACCGATTTTGGAAAAAAATGCACACCCCTAGGACTAGATCTTGGAGGGAATTTCTAACCTTGAAAAATGAGAAGTGATTAACGAGTAAACATCATAAAGTTGAGTGATTAAAAATTAGACATTTTAAAGTTGGGGGATTATTTGCAAGCAAACCTGTAAGTTTAGGGACTAACCAGGTATTTTTTTAACCCATTTTTCTTTATATATATATATATATATATATTTTCGAAAATGAACATTGAGGTGGACATGATTAAGGGATACAGACGGTGCCATTACCATCCCGAATTCGTATAGGATATTTAGGAGGTGGGAGTCGAAATTTTTTCCATCCCCAGTCCCATTACTATCAGCAAAAAAGCATGCAAGTTCAAAGACTAACTAGATTGTTAACCTAAAAAAAGGATCAACTATAAAAGGAAATTGGTCTGGGTATCTCCACTAGGCTAGGACAATAGGGTGTGTTTGGATTTGGGGATACGTGGATTTGGGAATGGATCTTTGATTTTTGTATCCCATTATAGCACTATTTTAGAGATTTTGTAAGTGAAAATTGATTTTGTAGGATGATGTGATTAAAAAGTAGAAAAAAAAAATCGTGGATCTTATAAAATTTGTTGTTGAAAAATTTTAGAAAAAATTTATATTAAAAAATGTCTCCCAAGCATGCTTGGTGTTATTTTAGGCGCATCTAGGATGGAAACATGAAAACATTCTTTTTTAATATGAAAAAAAATAAACCTGTATTTAGCCCCCGTTTGATCCACATTATTTTTCACATTCTCATTCTTCTACTTATTTTCAACCACGCATTCTTCAATAAAATAATATTTTCCATCACATCAATAATTTTTTCTTCTTTTTCAACCATACATTCTCTATCAATCTACTATTCCAAAATACATTCTTTCAAAATGATGTGGCTGATCTCTGATACCAATTATAGGGTCAATTGCGGAATTTAATAAAGAAAACAATTAAAATATAGAGCTAAGGGTAAAATGGACAAAACACTCACAAAATGACAAAAAAGAGTAAACAAACAAGTAAAGAAAAAGGTACAAGTAGCATTCTCCTTGTGGCTATAAGCTTACCCTGACTTAATCCGGGAAAGGACAATGATTGTCAAAATAACCACAAGCCACTAAAGTACCTCACTTGCACGACAAGAGCGTGCAAACGTTTAGAATCAATTTTTTTTCTTTTAGTTCCTAGTCTAACTAAAGTACATCACTTGACTAACGAGTTGGTGAAGTTCCATACATTAATTTCATTGACGAGCTTGTTTTGTTGAGCTTTAAAGCAAGTTAAACTTACTTCTAATCTACTTATTTTGTCAAACATGATTATTCTACTTAAAAAACCTTATTATACAAAAAGTAACCTTTAAGTACTACAGAAGTCTGCTGCATAAGTCTGAATCAATCAAAACAACAGTGATAGATTGTTATAGACTTGAATTTCTTTGCAAGGTAACAAAAAATCAGCATCCAGTGCAAGTTACAACATGCTAGAACAACCCGTCGCCATACGTCTAGACATGTACTAGCAAAACGAGGTAAAATATAATGTTTGCAATCGCAGCAATGAGATCACCACAGCATGTCCGTCCCATCTACAGCATCCTCATAAACTAATTTGCAGCAGCACAAGGTAAAGTGCAATCCACCATAAGCTCACCACGAGATCGTCGTGTCAACTGCCACGCCTGCACAGTCACGACTTGATGTCAGTGCATGTTTGGTTACATTACAGTATAATTTGTTCTTTTTCTTCATTACAATTGTCTATTACAATCCAATCCTCCGAACGAAATATACTATTCAGGAAATGTTTAGAAAAGTTTTTTTTTCAAGCTTATAAGCCGGCCAAACATCATTTTTATTCATTACAATTCCATTTGACCTATAACATTCTCCATTTTTGATCCACACATTCTGTAAACCCACAACATATAATCTACAAAAAAGTTTTACCGAATATTTACTAGTTTCTTTCCAAGAGCGATTTTCGAAATTTCACAAGCAATAAATGGGTATAATTCAATATTCACTGTCACATTTTCTTTATCAAATGACATAAAAGAGTTCCAAGGTAACTATGTTTACCTTCCGAAAAGGAAACATAGCAGTTCTCCAACAACGCAACTTGGAATTCTCTCTTGATCTGCTAACAATAGAAAACGAGAACAATCACATTTCACATCAGTTACTCGTGAGCATATATATCACAAAATCAATGAATGTATACGAGCTAGCTTAAAAGTGGTTCCCTTATCTCTAGGTGGATGAGAAGATGTGTTCTTTTGAGCATACTCCATAGAACTTTAACAGTCAAGATTCTTGCTATGGTTTATGATCCAACAAGGTAACAGATTTTGTTTCTAAAAAACTCGCCTTATGAAACCTTTAATATTCTTAACACAAACAAAACTCTTACTTTTGGAGCATATTTGGCGGAAAGGATTTGATAGCACTGGATAATGATTTTTTCCATCACAGTGTCCAGTCTTGTCCAGTACTGTGTATAGAATATGCGTTGGGTGTTTTGCCAAATTTGTCATGACAAGATAATTTCTCAAAAATATAGCACAGCAATGCTTATACAAGAAATGCATCCTATGGCATCACAGAAGATGCCCACTTACACAAGAACCAAACTCAAGTTTTATTAATCTACTAAATGAACCATGGTTGTACAACAACTGCACATCGCAAGAAGAAAAAAAGCAAACAAATAAATGAATAGAACAGAACAAAAAACTTAGAAATTACTAGAAATAAGAAAAAAACTTACGTATTATCTCTGTAGGAGTTACTGTAGTTTATTGACACACGAGTGGCAGGAAGATTGCTAGAACAAAAGTAAGCTTCAGAAGATGTCTTGCAGGGCAATGACAATGCCAAATTTCCTTCTTGTTGGTTGCTAGAATGAATCATCCGAGAAGCATTTGACATATTTAAGTTCCGGATACTTGAGACAGGCCCGTGTTGGCTCTCAAGCTCAAGGGCAATTAAATCCAGACATTCATATTTGCTTCTGTCCTTAAACCGATCAAATCCTACTTGATTTGTTTTCCCTCCCATTTCATCAGTAAATGATCTATGGGGTGTATTCACTCCAATGCTTAGAGCATTTCCATCCTGGTCTCGTATAGTCTTCACCACCTCTTTTCCATGACAACGTGCCTCCGACATTTGGGACCCGCACTCAAAGGAACAAGTTTCAACATATTTATCTCTTGTTATGACTGTTTTAGGGATGAAATTTGAGTTTTCTGAAGAATCGTTTCTACATTCTGACAAGAATTGCAACCTAAGACGCACTCTACGCAAGCAACTGAACAAGCTTAAAGATGGCTTCTTGAATTTCCCGCTCTTACCTGAAGCATTACATGCAAGATTGATCCTTAGCTCCACATTACAACCCAACACACGCTGAAGTGCAGTTGCAATCAATTTCCATGACCTTTCAGCCTTATGTACATGATCAAGATTATTGAACTCCAATCCAGCCACTGCCACACCTTAAATTACATGGAAAGACTTTAGAAGTGATTCAAAACCACTAGATAGTTGCACGTTCACGTGGATAAAATCAAAGGTAAAGGGGAGAAATCATCTATGTTACTCTCAGTTTCAGAATATACAGTCACAAAATGTAAAGTCGAAGTTCTTGAGCAGCAAATGGTAGAATATGCACCAAGTTAGTCTAATCTTACTACTCACGAACGAACACAAGACTATACATATGTGATATAATGCTGGCTTGCATATGAGTATTTCACCATTTTTAATTCTTAACCTAGTGGTATGTAATTTATGCAAGAGAAAACTAAAGCACAGGTGAACTACCTTGACTGAGACGAATAGACATCAACTTTCCCTGTTTTCGAAGAAACTTCTTGAGAGAGTTGGATTCGCACATTCCAGTAGCTCTTTTCCATATCAATTCCAGTGTTTCCTCACCATCCTGCATCCCAGTTTTACGAGAAGCAATACTGCCACGTGCACAGGAAACGAGATGCTTCAAACTCTCACTATCTGTGGAGGTGCTGCAAAAATCTGCGCCTGTACCAAAATATAGAGCTTAACTGAGGTAGTACCATAAAATAACTTTCTAGAGACAATAAGCCCCTGTTTGATGGCTATTATTTGGCAAAATTAAAGTTTTGAATAGTGAATTTTTGAAGAATGTGTGGTTAAAAAGTAGGAAAAAATTTTGGATTTACGTGTAGAATATTTTACTGTGTAAATGTGTGGTTGAAAATGAGTTTTGAAATAATGGTCGTCAAAAAGGGCTAAGTCATCATGTCCAAAACACCATAACTAAATGTCTAAATCCAATTAATTTTACCACTCTTACCTTGTGAATTTAAGGTTCTAATGCTCAACCTTGATTCATTTGCATCAGGTGAAGATCCCAGGGAGCTTAACTGTAGTAAAGCTGCAGTGAGCCACGTTATTTGATTCTTTGATGTACGCAGTTGTTTCTCAGTCTCAGAGAGTATTTTCAATGCATGGCTCAGTTGCTGAATGTCAGCTTCAGCTGTGGCACAAAAATAACAATTTCTTAGAAGCAACCTAACGAATCACCTACAATGTTTAGAATTTACTTACATGATGCTTAAACACCGAATAACAATATGAAGACAAATGCTAAATCTTTACGAGTTTAAAGTCCTGAACAAAATATGTCACATTGGATTCCTACCTATCAGATGCTTGTATCTGAAGTAAAACAAATACGACAAATGGGCAATGATGAAGTAACATAACATGCACTAAATCAAGAAAACAAAATATGGTACCATGGTCCATATTTCGGGATGTTTATAGGAAAGAAAAAATTAAGGGCACGTTTGGGGTAGCTTCTACTTTTGCATTTTTGTAGAAGGGGTTCCGTAAGAAAGTCACCTTAGACCATCTTCTCTGAAACCTCTTTAGTGAAAGCTCTTCTAATCCGACAAAACACTCATAGAAAATTATCCAAACAGACTCATAAGCAGCTTTATAATCTCAAATGCTACTTTGGCTTTTCAAAAACCATGTCAAACACGTCCTAAGTTTTAAACTTTCAATCATTGGAGCAAATAAGGAGTTACAGTACATACAAGAATGGCTTCCAAAAAGCTTTCTTCTGTCCTCAGAAATGCCATCCGGACATTTTCCAGCAAGAATATCCATTATGAGATTTGCCAACTGAGATGTAAGTTGCAGTGGATCTATCCTTGATCTCATTAACTCTCTGGCCCTTTTGACCGTATTTGATGCATCAGATGACAATGCGAGATGAAGTAAATCGAGCAATTCATCATCAGAGACAACTCGAATCTGTACCAACAAATGTGAAATTAGATTGATAATCCTACTTTCTGCAAACAAAATAAATGAAGGAATGAATATCTGAACACTCACAACTTCATAAACCAAAGATATTGTAATCTTTTTTCCAACCAAACTCAGCTGATCAAGCATCATCTCTGCATCCCGAAGTGAACCTTTTGATTTAGTAGCAATGAAATTTAAAGCATCCTGGTCAAAATCAAAACCTTCGGCCACACATAATTTTCCCAACCTGTTGACTATATCAATTTCTTTTAACTTTGTAAAATAGTATTTTTGGGACTTAGATACTGCATTACGAGGTAGTTTGTCAAGATCAGGAGTAATCCCAATGAAAACAACATGTTGAGAAAGCTCCTCCAGGGTGTTCAATATAGTTGCCCAACTTTCCCCTTTTAACAAGTGGCACTCATCGATGATATAAACCTTAAATCGTGAGGAAACTGGAGGGATCTCTGCATTCTTAGTAAGTGATTTGATCCTTTCTTTTCTATTAATTTTAACTAAATCAACTTCCTTGACATCCTTGTTCCTTCCAGAGAAGAATAGAACACATTCTTGGCACAGCCCACATGGTTTGTCAAAATCAGAAGAAAGACAATTTAATGCAGCAGCAAATATTCTTGAAGCAGATGTTTTTCCAGTTCCACGGGGACCATGAAAGAGAAATAGGGATGTTATCTGCCCATTGGAGATTGCACTTAGAAGAGACCTTGAAACTACATTTTGGCCCACCAATTCATTGAATGATTTTGGTCTAAATTTTTGACTGAGACTCCTAGGACTTTCAAGATTTTGATTAACTCCTTTGTTATTGTGCTTCCATCCCGTTTTGTGTCCAATTACCGGTGTTTTGCCTGAATAACCTGACAAAAGCGGTTGCTCCTCTGCATCAGGAAGAAAATTTGGCTCTCTAAATCGTGGGGTTCTTGACCAGCAGCAACTTGTCCCACAACCTTGATGATCAGAATTCCCAGCATCATCTTCATTCCCATACAATGACGAGGTATGACTAGACTCTTCCATTAGAACATCACTAATGGATAAGCACGGACTGCCAACACGGCTCAAAACATCCCCAGCTGTCACTCTAGACGATCTGGTATTCTTCATGTACCAGCTTTTCTGTTTTGTTCTATAATGACCTGTCTTCTCTATGTGCAATGGTCCTTCATTTGGCACATTACACGAACGCACACCCTCTACGCAGTCACAAGAAGGTATTAATTCCAATCCTCTGTCCTCATAGTCTCTGCAATATCTTTCACTTCGTGATTTGTTCTCACACACTGTCCCCTGGTTTAACAAACGTGCACTAGAACCTATATTTCCAATCGAATCTCTCAACTTTTCACAGGCAATTGGCCTTGAAGATGATTTCCTTGAAGTGCTATAGTATAATTCATGGTCGCTCACATTTAGTTCCTTTTCCCTACACAACCTCGACTCATCCAAACACAAAACATCATTACAATTCGGGACATCCCCTGTGCAACCATTTTTAAATCCTAGAGTGATAGCATTGCTTGAATTTGTTTCCCAATTCAAATTATCAACCATGGCAGAAAATTTGCTCATCGAGTTAGTTGATGGATCCCGAAGGGACCTTACTCTCCGAAGCGCCACCAGCGCTCTTGATATGGGTGCATCAACTGAATGCCGCCGCCCATCCATTACTTACAAAAAGCAAATCAAATGCGCAAAGGCTGCAATGGTTTGATCTACAGGCCCCACCAAAGAAACTATAATGTCAACCTGAAACTTCACAAAGAAAGAAACAGGGCACTCAAACAAAGAAAACCTCTCTAAAGTTGGCTAATTTGGATGTCTAAAAGGCGAGAAACAAAAGAAAAAAAATCACAAAAACATAGTACCAAGAAAATGGGATTTTCTTAGCAAAAAATAAATGCCGTCTTAGATACTCACAACTTCTTTAGTAAAAAAATATTAAATACTTTCTAGATTTTTTTCTCTCAAGAACACTTGTAAATCACAAAAAGGGAAAACCCATATTTCAAAAGCTAAAGCAAATGGAGTACCTTTTCTCAGAGAATATCCCTGCATATATTGAAAACTTCACTGGTCACCATTTTCACCTGCAAAGCATATAATAAACAAACCCTGCACTTCAATTCATCTAAATAAATAAAGAATCTTGAAATTCTAAAATCATAGTTTATACATAGTAATACAAGTTCATATTTATATTTTAGTACTATGAAAGTTTGAAAGAAACAAATTGGAAAACGACAAATTTGAAAAAAACTGAAGAAAAAACACCCAGAAAACCTGTGGATTGAAGAAGAAGCGATATGGGTTCTTGTACATTAATGCTTCGAAGTTAACAAAAATCAAGATTTTCGAAATGTAAGCGAGATTTTCGGAAGACCCACAGATGAATAATAATATTTTTCACAAGACTGTACAACCCTAGCCACAAAAACAGAGGTCGAGTCATGTTATTCCTGGATTTGGAGGTGGTGGTAAGTGGCAAAATAGTAAATGCCATCAATGAGGAGGGTGACTATACACGCCATTGTAATTGACATAAGTATATAATACTGTTAGAGTTTTGCATTAAATTGGAAGATGAGATGTCCCCCACAAGCATGTGAAATATTTATCAGATATTTTCTTGACAATGTATGATGTTCTCTCTGTTTATGCTACAGAGTTCTCTTGCAGAAGCTTTGGACAGAGTGAGGATATTTTTTCCTTTTCTACTCTGTGGTGGTGTAGGAGTGGGGTGGGGTGGGGTGGGTGGGGAGGCGAGGGGAGGGGTAATACGGACAGTTGTTGTTGGTTTGGTTTTTGGCAGTTTAGCTATTATAAAGCTGACTTTGCCAGTTTGTAATGTGGGGGGCCAGTGGTTCTGGACAATTCCACCTTCTCTGGTGGCGCGTCTAGTACACTCTTGGTAGTTATGCTTGTTTGCTGAACTTTCGGCCGAGGCTTGGCCTACTAGGCGAATCAAACTTGTCCATTGGTCAACGAATCGAGCTTGGAATGGTTTGTTGACCAAGGGCCCAGCGCCTATCCGCGAATGACCGAGCTGTTCGGATTCACGAGTTCTTTGATTTTTTTTATTTTTCTATTTTTAAAATAGAATTGAATATAGATTAATATAAAAAAAAACGACCATACTACTTGTACAAAGTGGCTTGACAAATTGAGTTTACAAAGTGATGTGGCACAGTGGCAGGAATTAAAAAGACTTAAATGTCCTTCTTCTATCTTTTAGTTAAGTCAAGGTTCTCTATTCCTAAT